CATCCCAGAGTAGCGCTATATGATTTGATGATCTTCAAAGAGATTTTCTGCTCTTTTTGCATTGGAAATATACGCTGTGATCCATAATGATAAATAATTGAAATTGTTTGGGTTATTCTATGCAGCGGTTAGGCGTCAACCACAAAAACGGTAAGCCCCAGTTTTAGATAAATGACTAGAATAGTCCGCAGTCTCCCTGAAAATAAACGTTTCTTTTGAAGACAGATAAAAAGCTGAGAGTTTATCTTATCAAACAGGACATTAATTAGAGACAGGCACTGCCATAGGTTATCAGGAATGACAGGGCGACTGTTAATTCCAAGTTCGGTTTTACCGGGATTTCAGATTTTCGCCTTAAACTTTTAATGCGTACTACAAAAGGTAGGTTTCCATTGTTTTCCGCAGGAAATTGCCGTATAAATAATTTGCCTAAGCTGAGTAACGAGTTTTATTTAATGTACAACTAACGAAATTAAAGTTTTGACTTATAAAAATGCTTTAAGTTGAAAATTCATTTATTGGCCATATAAGGATATCTAATGAAAACAGGGACATGTTCACGTACACGAAAGAAAGGAACAATGGAACTTTTAATACGAGAAAAGAGGACGCGGTCCTCTAAGGTTTTTGTGGTTCCGATCTGGTTTCTTATAATCTAGCACTGGGTCACCTTTTTAGATCCTTTAAAGGACATATAACAGCTACAGTTGACAACAATACCTACTTTACGCGTTTCTCTTGCGTGAAATTTTTGCCTGAAGTTGCGCTTTTTCTTTATACTTTGTGAAAAACTTCCAGTTTAGTTTCGTTTCTGCACTTCTTTTAACCAATCTCGTATATATGTTATCGGCCCATTCATACTTTCGCCTTGTTGAAAAAAAGAACTTATCGAGTGCGATTTCTATTCAAAAGCAATATCTCGACTCTCGCGACAATTGACAACATTGTCACATGTGATTTGGCAAAAAGATTACAGATGTCTCCGGTTTGGGATTGACCCAGCTGTCGCGACAAACAGCATTCATTGAATGTCTTGCAACAATGTTGATGTGTGGTTAATAGGAACATACAGCCCAATTGGACACACAGAATCGAACAATACTGACGAATGTTAAGGAGGGGAACTGACGTCACATCTCTGACAGTGCCATCTGGGGAGGCATAAACTAAACCGTTTCGGGCAGTAACAAAACTGAAAGTTCAAAGTGACTGAGCAGCTGCTTGTGTCGCACATGTCGGAATATGTCACACTTTGGCATAGACTTTTTCTCTCATAAGTGATATTTTCTCTCGCTTTTCAAAAGCACAAATAAGACAATATTTTATAAATAAATCCTCCAAAAAGTTGGTATCTATTTATAAATTATTGAAGGGTTGAAAAAAAAATGCGAACAAAATCCTTTCAACAATGTTCGTTTTTATGACGCCTTTCCTTTTTTCTGATCCTGAACTAATATCGGTATTAAAACCTTAATCCACAAGAAAATTTGTTGAAGAAGATTATTTTTGTATAATGTACTGTACGGCAATTTAAAATTAGTTTTCTGTTTTTTTTATTTTATAAATCCAACGACATAAACTTATTCTTTTTTTCTTAAATAACGCTTGGAATTTTTAATAAAAAATGTTTCCTCATACTTTACAACATTCTTTGTGGGTATCCATCAAATAAAAACAATTTAACCATGCATTTTTGCGTATATAAAATAAAGAAACTTATTAAAGAAAGCCATACGAGGAGACATGGAGAAAGAAAGGTCGAAGGTCGTTTTTACGTCTTATCAGATGGTTCCATCCCAATTCCAGTGAGTCAGATATCAAATCACCTGTCTGGGTGGACCATCTTGGGTGAGGAGGGTGGTACTATGACAATGCACCACTTTAATTCTGCACGTAATCATCTCTTTTTAAGAGCGAAACTTTGGTAGGAAGATTTTTAACTTTTGAAATATGACGAAAAGATATATTTGTATTTGTTTGTCCTATTAACTTAGATCCCGTAGTGCTGACGTTTTCGCTTAATGTGACTGCATTCGGCTCAGTAACCACAATACAACAACGCGGTAGTTGGTATACGGTATAAAATAGCGTTGACGTCTTTACCAGAATGAGGGGAACAGAGTAGACAATGACGGTTACAGATATGATTGAGGACAGGGAGCAAAGTAATGGCAACCACTCTAAAGAACAATAGCCGATAGCCAGGTAGTGGTTAGAGCAATAGTTAGACGAGAAGTCTTCTCTTTCATATTTTCAGTCTGCACTTGTCAGTCCAATAGTTGTTACTACGATTGTGTCATTAAAACTAATAGTAAAGTTATAATTGAACGAAGAGTTTTTAATTACTTTCTACGTTTCTTTTATACATTTCAAAGCAAATAATAATTACAAAATGATTCTACTTTTTTGTATCTAAAATTTATAAAAATCTAAGAAAAAGTTAATTTTTTTCCATAAATAATGTAAGTAAAAAAAACTGTAAGAAGAATAAATCTTACTGTTTTTTTTCCTATAAAACAGAAATATTTATTCGTTTTTTAACAGCATTTTATACGCAAATAAGAAGAAAATTTAGTTTTAGTTTTTTCATTTTCTTATTCACACAACTAATCTTTTCTGCAATCTCCGTCAAGCAGATCCAAGTATTTTTATTAAATATTTCTAGCAGCAACCTCTAATCTTCTGGAATCTGAACTTTTGTTATTCGATCTACCTTTTTTTTCCACATTTGGGTTCTTATCGTGACTTGAAGATTTAAAATACAATCACGAAACAACAAATCCCATTCAGCAAAGTTGCATTGTTTGACTAGATATTTAGTAGGATTTATTTACACGTGTTTTCTTTTGAAAGTTTGTTTCTACTTCTTCCCATCTCTCAAGACTCTAACCTTGAGAACAAAAACATTCTTTCTTATCAGGTATGGCTTTTTTATATATATATATTTTTTTATTGTTCGGGTTTTTCATTTTATATTTTTATTTGTTTAAATTATTAAATACAGAGCCGAATTTTGAAATTTTCTGTAACTTTTTAACTTGAAAAAAAACTTAAAAAACTTAAGCTGAAAAACATAAAATAGAAATATTAAATTTTTGAAGAATGTAAAGGTTTTCCTTCCTTTCTTTTTTTTCCTTTCTCTTTTTTCTATTTTTAGTAAAACTAATGAATAAAATTGTCATTTTTATTCTGGAAAAAAGAAACAAGATATAAAAATAATTCCGGTAAACAAAACTTTTTCATAAAAATAACTTTATAAAAATTTTTATAAAGATAATTTGAAGGAAAAAAAATACTTTATTGCAATTATTTTTAACAGAATTCTTTTCTGTCTAAAAAATAAACAGAAAAAAAATATATTTAAAAATTAATAATAATGTATAAGAAAATAAAAATTAATAAATAATATATTTGTTATTTTTTTAATTTTATTTTTATTATTTATAAGTTCTGAATCGAAGGTTTAAATATTAAACTTCCTTTCTGTTGTCGGAAGAAAAAAACAAAATTATGACAATAAACAATTTCGATATTTTTAGTATAGTTGAGTAGGGGTTGTTAAAAGTTGAATAAATATTTATGAAAAAAGAGGAGTCGAAAAATCTAGATTTAGAGACGAGTGTCGACTATTTTAAATGCTTTTTTTTCGGAATTAAATTATTTCTATTCATATGCGATTGAAAGTAATGAAATCGGCAACAGCTGTTGAATGTTTTTGAGTTAATTACAGCACTCCTAATTCAATTCTGCAATTCTTACACTTTGTTAAACACCTCTGGTTTGTCATTTATGGACAGACACACCATTGGTCAATGGTTGTAGCTCCTCACAAAATTAATTCTTCTAATTAATCATGCTTTAAGAAGAGACATCCTGTAAAGTAATTATCGACTTTTAAAATAAGGCCTTAACATAGATTTTTTTTAAATAAAAAAAAAAACAAGCCCGTAAACAGTTATTTATGTTTTTTAGGACGTGTTAGATTTTCGATAATCCTTATTATCCCTGGAGACGATGGAAATTATTGGGAGGTGAGTCAACTTCGACAAACCTGTGGATGTTATAATTCGGGGCGGATCTACTTTGAGATATAATGCAATAAAACTAACCGGGCGAATGCGAATATAGCAACATGCACAAGCACAAATGTTGTCGAGGTGATTCATTCGTTCATTTCATGTAAATCATGCCGAATGTCACGGTATTCCAACCCCTTAGTTAGTTGTATACTATAAAGATTACCCCTCGGGGATTCTTACCATACCCCTAGTTTATACTTTACTTTGTTAAAAATGTGATTCATAATTACAAAAATTAAAATCTGAAAATAGTGGTCCTCCTCAGTATAATAAAGTAGTCGAGTACGTAAGTGACAGATGCAGAAAGTAAATGGTTATATCGAATATCGTTAAATGTTGCATAAACAAACTTGGTAGTAAATTTATCAACTGAATAGCGCTAAACGGGAGCTTCGTTTGATATTTACGTCAAGTTACGTAAAAAAAATATATGTATATATCTAAAAATGTAATTATTTCGCATCAAAAGTCAGCATTGGGTCGTACAGAGGTTAATTAAAAAAAAAAAAAAACAGAGAATTTAAAATATACTAAGCAAGGTTATGTCTGGCGGCTAAGCAAACCTGTCTTCACAATTTGCCCTCAGACTTCGTTTATGTGTTTTTACCTCGTTGTTACCTTGTCTTTTCTAGCTAAAAGGATAGATACTTAAAGCTAAGATTATATAAAAAAAGAAAAATCTGTTCTTCAACATCCTGGCCGACCTTGCCTATTTTAGATTTCCCAAGCTGATAAATATTATCTCGATAGGAAGTTTGAAATTGGCAATAATTAGCCATTTTCCGATATCTTAAATCCAAATTACATTTAGTTATAAATGTATCTCAACGAGATTTATTATCAGAGAACAGACCTCACACCTGTTGTTCATATATTGTTTACTCTACATTTACGACTCCGGTCAATTATTTTGTGGGCAAAAGTTGTGAGGGCGCCACCGTCTACGACCCACGTGCATCGTCAGGGTCGGAGTTTTGTGAGTCCCCAGGGTTGGTTGGCTGCCCCTCATCCTAGAGCCGTAGTGATCACTGCACATCGAATGGTTTCTGTCCTCCCAAATAAACATTCGAACAAGGAACTCGAAGAAATCTTAAGAGCTCCTTCCGAGGTTACCAGGTAAAAGCTTTTTATTCTTATAACTATGCTTGTACCTTCTATATTTCCAGCTACAAGTGTTCCGCTCTCAATCGAATAACCAATCTTAATTCGGCACTTATCGCTAGATAACGTAGCTGATCTCTACATTAGCGGGTCCTAATAGATAAAGGAAACCTCTAATTATGATTAAAGAGAATAATTCAACGACTTTCAATCCCTGGTGGGGCCCGGCTGTAGTGTTATTGGCTGCATCCCAGAAAATGGCCTTGATGCTGTTTTATCCCTTCTCCACACCGCATTTTCTCTGGCAGGAAACCACAAGACTGCTTTGTTCTTTTATAACACTGCAATACACGGTAAATAATGTACATAAAGGTAGAAAAAAATACCACTACAGCAAATTATGGCTTAAGTTCACAAACCTGTAGTCCGTCATCTCTTTTATAGCTACGCATACATTATAAAGTTGGGGAGACGAAACTTGTTGCCATATTAAGTAGGACGGAATCAAAGAAGGCAGAAAGATTTATGAAATGGAAAGAAGCTCTGGCATATCGAAAGAGTCATTGTTTCCTATACATTTTATGTAAAGCATTGTGGTTATGTAAATGCGATAGAGGGGACTAGGGATGCAGAAAGAGCGAGAGAGAAAGAGAGAGAGAGAGAGAGAAAGAGAGAGGGGTCGTAGATAAGTTCTAGTATCTGCTACTTTCTGCCTGCACGTGTCAGATTAAGATGGAGGCGAGCGATAGTCAAATTGTCTTTGCTTTCTCGGCATTCAGCGTTCTCCCCCGTGATCATTAGTACTTGTCATTGAGGGATGTTTGGTTAAGATAAGTAGATGTATAGCCTTCCAAAAGCAGTGCAGGTGAAACGGGAAAGCGGAAAAGATGTTTAATATTGGGAACAGGATTGAGATGTTTATCGCAGGTGTGCATAGTGGCCGAGTAGCGATAGGAAATTGTTGCAGAGGTCTGGTGATGAATGTTAAAGAGTTATCTTAAGAATGAACCCAATAGATGAGAGAGAAGGAGTCGGTTGAATGTATAATTGAGATACGGAGTTGATAATCGTAAACTGAGGTCCTCAGAGGGTCGTAACCTTTTCCTAAAAATAAAACGCGTAATAATGTCACCTAGAATAAAAGAGCGTTAGATTAGTTTTGTTATTAAGCTCATGAACTAAGTTTGGTTCTTATCCAGGCGAGTTACAATCAAACTTTACATCCGCTTATTCATTGGAAGCCGGCAGAGGAGGCTAGGAGATTTATGTCTACCTTTTACCAAGCCGGGGGAATCTTTTCATAGATCCACCGCTTTTTAACTTCCTCTGCAAAAAATCTCCTCGTAATTCAAAAGAAGAGAAGCCTCTTTTATGAAAAATGAACAATCCCATGTTTAGAATAACATTAAAATTATTTTTAGTTCCTATTTATGTTTTAAAATAGCTTCTTTTTTTCTAGATTTAATTCGTGTCATTACTTATCTGAAGAAATGGTGCAGTTCTTCCAATGTGACGCTACTAAACACAAATGTGATTCATGTCCCAGTGAAGTATCTCGTACAACATCGTATTTAACTACCTATCATCACGTTCATCATCATCTACATCATCGTACTGCTAAGTCCTTCCGGGAATATAAAAATATGCTATCATGTGGAATGCTTCGCATTATAGACGATAACAGGTAATATTTTGTTCGAGTTTGGTTTCTGGCAATTAAGTAATTTTATTATTTTTCATTGAGCGAAGGAGAGGATGAAAAAATGTATATTTTTTTCCATGCTTACTGCGAGTAAGAGAAAAATGTAAAGAACGTATTGCCGTTCTCATCATAAATTTCTTATAACAATTTACTAAACTCAATTCGTGATATTAAATTATTTTGACAATTTCCTGCGTGATGTTACAACGTATGAAACACATCACGCCTGGCCATTTACCCTCTCTTCATTGTCTGGCTTCCCCCACATGATAATTGCATTCAACCTTATAGAACATGGCTTCTATCCGGAGTAGGACATTTACAGCCTAAGATATAATGAACCTTAAAAAAAAAATGAGAAAAGCCGCCGACGATGTTGAGAAGAAAAGACAGAAAGGTTTAACGGAAAGTCTGATTTGTGACTTGACTTAATGACCGGACTGTTGGCCTTACGTACAATAATATAGCATTAACGGTTTCTTTACATGAATAATGTATAAAATAGAAGGCAAGGGACTCTTAATTATTGTTTGGATATAGGCTTCACAAAAATATCATTTCTGTTTGTGTTACTTATGATATAATAAATTTGGCAAACTGGTGTCGCTTTCTAGATAATTAAGGTTGGATAATTGGATAGGACGAGAAACAAACTGCTATTCCGTTTTTTTCCCTTTCAAAAGACACAAATCTTTGTTTTAATGAATGTTTATGGTCGAAATTTCACGTTAAATGAATATCTTTGACAAAGATCTGATACCAACTCTTCTCCACCCCTCTGGTCTCGGAGTTATTCTTTACTCACAGATTGAGGGTATTGTATGAGGCTCTCTTTACAGTACTAAAGTACTCCACCCTGAATTACTGTCTAGCTTTTCATTGTTCGCTGGCGTGAGTATAATTATACATTTGCTAGATATAGTCGGATGCCCAGCTGGTTTATGATGGATGTTTAACTATATTTGATTTTGCTCTTCGTAAAGTGACCATCCCCATCGATATATTAGTCGGAAAATATCAATATTGCCTGTAAAATTAATTTAAGCTCGTTGAAACCGAAGATAAACATCCGAATTGCGATTTATTCCAAAGCTTTGTTTAAATCTATAAACATTTGAAGGTCGTCAAACGCCCACGGAGCTATCCGAAAAAAAAAATTCTTCTTTGGCACTTGTATTAACCTTGACTGTGTCATTACCTTATTATCCACCTAACAGACTGAGGCATGAATTAAGTAATTTAATATATCAGCCCGGCGACAGATGCACCTTTCGTATTACGCAACTGTTTTTAACAAAGATCAGTCTAAATTGAATAGAAATTTTTATAATTTTTAACAAATCATCATGCTTTTGATTCTTTGAGATTTTCTTTCACTTAAGACGCTTTGTTACGTGTCGATATTTACAGTAAAACTATATCTTTTACGATGCTCCATCCTACAGTATTGTTAGCCTATAAGTATTATCAGCTTAAGTGTTTTTCTTCTTTTTCGAACATTGTTTTTATAGGATCAATGTACAGCAAATAAATAAGATTAAATATATTTTTTCCTTACTTTTCCTAATATTAAGTAAATATATCATTTCTATTTTTCGAATTTTTATATTTTAACGAGATTTAAATGATTGTAACGAAGTGGCACTACATACAGACGAGAAAAGAATATTACAATATGTAGATTTTTTTATATTTTAAACCAAAAAAACTTGTTGAACGTTACAAAAAATAAATGTGAAGAGAAAAGAGAGTTGTTTAATATCGAATTAAACAGTTTTTTTTTATTTAAAAATTAGCATAAATATAATTTTAAAAAGCGGATAATGGGATATTTAACTTAATACAGTACCTAAGAAGAAAATTAAAAAAAAATGTTATAATTGTTGTGAAGTTCTTGAAGAAATTTGTATAAATCTTGTATAAATTTTAAATGTCAATATATATTAATATAATTTATGCATTAGATAAGTTATAAATTCGAATTTATCTACTCATTATACTGTTCATACAGAAATTTCTAAGAGACTTTAAATAGTCTGCATTCTCCTTTCTCATCACTCATGAATTGTCTTAAAAAGCCAAGCAGTTCTGATTATGATCCAATCAATAAAGTTCCAGGTTTCTTCATCATAACAGCGGGCCTTTAATGATCAGGAGGAAACTCTGTAGGGATCTTGCTCTTGCAAAATATCTATTAAGCGATAAAATAATTTTTGATGTATTGTAACCATTGAATATGCCAGTAAATAAAAGTATAGTGAGGAAAATATAATGAAAGAGAGAGAGAATATAGGAAGAGCGATAGCACGAAGAAGTCAAAGGCTTTCATCTTTATAGCTTACATAATTGCAGAGATTGTAAAATGTGTTTTTTAAAGTCCTAAGATTAGTGTTTAAACGTATTAAAATACGCTTTAAGTATTCCTTCAATTGATCGAGAAAGTTTAATACCGCGGCAGTTTTATCGGTGGTGAAATTAGACTTTAAACAAAATTTGAACCCGCACTTTTAGAAAGTAATCGTTAAAATCGGACCCGAACGAGAAAAGAGATCGGTAAGCACAGTGATGATGCGCGGGAGAAGAGCCAAGCAGACTTAGTCCGTTTGAAGACAAGTTATGGCTCGCAGGGGAGACATAAAGACCAAAATGTCCTTATCAATGAACCAGCTTGCTATTGTCTAGTTAACGTTTATCACTGTAGGGACTTAGGACGATCTGTTTGATGGATAAACACCACTACGACGATTAGAGTTAATCGTAAACCCGACTTAACTATTGGATTTTTAAGAGCATTCAATAAAAACGACGTTAAGTAAGTTGGCACCTCGCACTTCCACGAGTCTGTTTCCCATTCAATTCTCTATCTATCGTTCTATCTATTCCATTTTATCTGTAAGTAGAAGCGATTATTATTTTGTGTAAGTGGAAGTTTTTCTTTTACGAAAATGTATTTATTTTAATTTTTACTTTAAACATTTTAGTAAAAAATGTTCCCTCTTTTATGGTGTCCGTTTTCTCTCCACAGATGGCGTTAACCATTGTAATCCCGAAACTAAGCACCAGATGGCGGTATAATATCGACAATATTCGGGTCAAGATACTACACGGTTTTGATTTACTTTATGTGCTATAAATGCTGCAATATTTTATTCTTTATAACATTTTACTTAAGAATTTATTCGCTTTCAGTAGCTATTAACTTATCTTTGCTCTTAAGTGTTGCCACTTCCGAGTGGCATTCTTTTAAAATTTCACCAAACGACCTTAACAATATTTATTTATTTATTTTATTTCTTTTCTTAAATAACAATTTATTAACATAGCTACAGAAATTTAATCATTGTAAGTTATAATTTAATATTAGTCGTAGATATTGATTATAGTAAATGCTAGTTACGAACTTAGGCGATGGGAGCAGAAAATAAATCATGCCGTTCGTGAATAAACCCCATTCTCAATTTAAAAATTTCTAAATTAATCTACTAGTTTAAATTTGTTTTGAAATTGAGAGAAGCGGTATAGTAGTTGGTCGGCTATCGATTTATTATGCCTTGGAAGCGTGGAAAGCCGCAAAACTTAATCACCTAATCTACACTTTAATAGGTACCCTAAGTAAACCCTGTGGATATGTATACCACTATGTATATACAAGTTTAATTCCTGTGCGATTTCACTCGGGCTTCAGTGATAACAATGTCCATCCCTGACAGATGTTCTGACTATATGACCGGCTCAAATTACAAGGTGCGTAATAACGACTATGTTACCAGTTAGATTTTCCGTACTTCCACTGCGTTATCATAATCTCCGGTAGTGTAACTAGCTTTAATAAGCTGTCTAGTGAACGAGAAACGATTACCTCCGTTTCTATAGGCTTAAATTCGTGAAGTACGAATTTCGAATTCCATTGTTCCGTTCTGGTATGCACCATTGCGTTGAAACTTTGTATATTCAATAACTTTAAAGATTTCTTATATTTTTGATATACGTAAAGCAAGTTTTCCCCCTTAATTTTCAATTTATGATAATGTCTTTCGACATTGCAAAAAATTGCCAATGTTTCGGGGGAAAAGAAGAAGAAGAAATTCAATTTCGGTGTCTCCGGAAAGTCGCCATGATTTTAAAAAAGAGCCGAAATTACTCAACAGTTCGGTCCGACTTGTAAATTAAAAACAATCAAAGACTTTCAATGTCTTTAGTCATCAGAAAAGTGTAATAAAAACATAAACCTTTTACGCATATAGAAAACACTCCATTAAAATCTTATCGTCCATGTAGAAGTGAACACGTGTGTCTTAGATAAGGTAAGTTCCCTTGTTCTCTACGCTTTGGAATATATCTTCGTATTGATTTTACTTCCCCCTTGCTTGATCCTAGAGACAGGCAGGACTGACTCTATACTTTATAGTTTACGTTGACAGGCAGGTTCTTTACTGCTTCAACTATCCAAAAAGAATGCCGAGAATTGAAGAGGAAATGACTTTTTGATCTTTCAAATTGAATATACATCTGTATGATTTATTACCTTTATTTAATTATTAATATTACCATATGCCTTTCTGTTTAAATTTATTATCTATCTCACTTATTAAGATAGGATAATAAATAACTTAAAATTATTTTCTTTGCCGAATCGATAATTAGAGACTGTGTCAAGTCTCAAACTAAATTGAGAGGGCTGCCCTTGTAAATTTTTCGTAGTTTTTTTTTCTTTCTTTCTTTTTCTTCCTCGTAGAAATCATTATATTGGTGGCAGCTTTGGCAAAACAAACAGTATTGACTGTACAGATAAGCTACTACCCCCTTACCGTATAAGGAGTCTGATAATTAAGTTAAGATCTAATCAGCCGTCCAGCCTTCATTGATTGCGTGCTAGACATGATGGTGTTCTCGAGTAACTGGTTTGTTTCAACTTCTTTCCTCATATATTCTTTAAATGCCCATTTTCTGTAATCCCATAGTTAATTAGTCCTTTGACAAAA